CACTGAGAAAATTGCCCATTTATACTCTCTGTTTTCTATTAATTAGCCAGTTTTTGATCCATAAAAGGACTTGTCCATAAAAGGACTTTGATCCATGCAGGACTTGTCCTTTTATCCCATGATTTTTGAGCTTACTTAGGAGCCTTTAATGAGGCACTTTATCAAAAGCTTTCTGGAAGTCAAGGTAAACAATATCTATTGGGTCCCCCTTGTCCACATGTTTGTTCACCCCCTCAAAGAACACTAACAGGTTAGTGAGACAAGATTGCCTCGCTGCGTTGCCTCACTGGGCTGCATTGCCTCGCTGCGTTGCCTCGGCCCCCTCCCCCCACAGAGCCGGCAACCAGCGCCTTGCTCTCAGTCTGAAGGGAGCCAGCGAAGGGGATGGACGCTCCATCAAGGGAGCGGCAACCCCTCCACGGGGGAGAAGGAGGCAGACCTAGCGAGTGGCAGCAAGTGGGGGAAGCACTTACCTTCGCTGCCCCTTGTGGCTCTTCTCCCTCGGCCGCAAGGCTGGTGCTTCAGCAGGGTGATAGTTCAGCGGGCTGCACTGCAGAGAAGGCTGCCCAGGGCCTTCCAAAGGCTCCCCCGCCTTCCTTCAGCAGCAGCGCCAGGGGGGTCTGGCCTGGTGGAAACGAGCTGCAGCTCCTGGAAAGCCGGACTCTCTCCTGAGGAAGACACTTCTCTCTGCTCCTGTGTGGGCCTAACTGTGACTAACTGTCCCCTTGGTGGCTCTTGGTAGGCAACCAACTTCTGTCAGTAAAAAAAACAAAGGACTTTCAGCATAATTCCCTCCCCCGCCCACTGCCAGATTGGCCACTTTCCTGTCAGAATGGCTCTCTCTTCGTTTTGGCTCCACCATGGCTGGCTGGCTGGCTAACGAGGTGGGCCAGCAACCATCGAACCATTCTCTTCAACCCCACTGCTGTACGGCTGACTTTCCCCTAGGGTTGCCAGTCTCCAGGTGGGACCTGGAGATCTCCTGCTGTTAGAATTCATCTCCAGATGACTGAGGTCAGTTCCCCTGGAGAAAATGGCTGCTTTGGAGTGTGGACCCTATGGCATTATACCCTGCTGAGTCCTTCCATTCCACCCCCATGCTGCCCTCCATGGGATCCACACCCCCAATCTCCCAGGTATTTCCCTAATTAGAGCTGCCAATTGTGCTTTCTCCTCAGTACCTGTTGCTAGTGTTGTACACACTGCTTATGGAACCAGTACTCTGCCACTGGCTAACAGTCAGTGTAACTTAGTAGGTGCTCTTAACGCTTCCATGGTGCATATGTTAAGTGCCTTTGATGATTCTAATCACAGTGACTGAAATCAATCATGAACAAATATTCAGATATTCACTCTGGTTCATTGCTTAAAGGCATTCTGGGTAAAATACCAAATGCTGACCAACAGTAACTGACTGACCTTGCTTATAGTGGCCAGTTGTAACTGCGCATGCTTCTGATGTCAGTTTGCTTGCATTAGATGAAGAACACTGCATGATGTACTAATATTTGTTATAATTAGATACTTTTTAGAATCTCACAGAATGGGAAGAAGAAAGCCTATTGTTCAACTGAAGAAGGTATATTTTTGCCTGAGAAAATCCAACCCATAGACTCAGGCCCAATCAGAATGATGTGACGGATATGTGACTAACTTTGATGGAACCAGTAATTGTGATTTATTTCTAACTGTCATGGGGGGTATAAAACCCTATGTCTCCCATTGTAACCTTAGGGAGAGCTGTGGGGTCCAAAACCTTATTGGATCTGCACCTCCCTCCTTTGTTGATCAATAAAGTACAAGATCTGATTCTCCTCTACAAGACTGCCGTGTGCTTTCTCAAATTGGGCTGGGGGAGCACAACCTTTGACGGAGTGTCTGTCTTACACTAGGCAACCAGGTTCTGTCAGTAAAAGGCCCTTTCCACACCTATTTTGGCCCTTGGGTGAAAACTCAATGGGGCCAGTCCTGATAGAGTTGCCAACTCTAGGTGGGACATTCCTGGAGATTTGAAGGATGGAGCCTGTAAGAGTCCAGATTAAAAGACAGATGGCAAGCCAAAGATAGATGGCAAGCCAAAAATAATCCATTGTGCCACTTCTATCGAAGACCAGGTGGGCGGAGATATAATAGCAGCCCAATTACAATGGATGGTGACAACTGCCACCTGCACTGTAAGGTGATTTAAGGGTAGTTAGGGCAGGAGGGGCCAGAATGAACGGACGCCTGCTAGTTAGCCAAAGGCCTGGCGGAACAGTTCTGTTTTACAGGTTGTAGTAAGTCCCACAGGGCCCTCCTCTCCACTGGGAGCATGTTCGACCAGGTTGAGGCCAGGGTGGAGAAGACCCTGGCCCTAGTTGAGTCCAAGTAGATGTCTTTTGGTGCCGGGGACTGCCACTAGATGTTGTTCTGCCGAGCATAAAGCTCTACAGGGCACATGTGGGGAGAGGCTGTCCTGCAGATATGCTGCTCCCTGGCTGCATAGGTCCTTAGAGGTGAGCACCAGCACCTTGAACCGGATCCGGTACTCAGCTGGAAGCCAGTGCAATTGGCGCAGAACTGGCTGTATGCGCACCTGCACAGGCATCGCAGTCAGAAGGTGTGCTACCAGTTTGCACCAGCTGGAGTTTCTGGATCAGGTTCAAGGGCAGCCCCGCGTAGGGCTAGTTGTAGTAGTCTAACCTGGAATAACCATTGCATGGTCACTGTAACCTAGTCCCAGGAGGGGAGAGAGAGAACTAGATGCCGAACCAGTTGAAGATGGTAAAAGGCTGATTTGGAAACACTGGTGACCTGGGCTTCCTTAGTTAGCGAGGCATCCAGTATCACTCCTAAACTCCTGACCCTTGGCGTTGGCACTAACAGCTCCCCACCAAGGGTTGGGAGCCAGATTCATGTGCTCTGGGGACACACTGGGTCTGGGTGCTGAACAAGCCAAGACATCTGTGGAGGTAATTTGCTGCAAGGCAGGATCAGGCTCCCTGATGAAGGAATCGGGGAAGAGCTGATAGAGGAGTCATGGGGGAAATAGCCCTGTTGTGGAATTGGCAAAAGGGAATAAAATGCAGCCATCAAAGTAGTCTCTTCCCCCACCCTGCCAAGACTCCTACTGCAGCCACCCCAAAGATATCCTCCAGTGACTGATTACAGTGGATCCCCAAGTGGAAAAGGAATAGATTTCTGAGAGTGTGACTTGAGAAGGGCCCCGCCTGACCCTCCTTTTGCTTTGCTTCAGTCGGATGAGGACTTCTGGGATCAGCTGGAAGCCAATTGGGAGGAGACAGCCAATCGGTGCTTGACCAGTGATGAGGGTCTCACCAGCTCTGCTTATGACAAGCAGGTACCAGCACCCTGGGAATGCATGCTGGTCAGGTCCCTTCCTTGGGGGACCATGACGTAGCAGCTCCATGCTGCTTTCTGGTGGTAAGGATTCACAGTGGATGGAGACATGGGCCACCATCTCAGTCCTGCGGTAGTAGTGGCTTTTTCTGTGTGTATGTGGTGTTGGTGGGTGGGTCTGACCTCCTGGGCTTTGGAGGTTCTTCTGCAAAGATAGGGTACCATTTCCTCCACTGACAAGAGATCTTCTCCGGCCTTCCTCGATTCCCTTCCACCAATAGTTGGCAGACTTCAGCACGGACACAAATTAGACTGTTCAAAGGGAACTCCTTCCCCCCTTCTCTCCTGCTTGATGCCTTAGGAGGGAGCTTTGCTACGGAGAGTAGAGTTTGGATTTGAGAGACCTGGGGTGAAATCTCCACTGAGCCCCGGGGGTCTTGGACAAGCCCTTCTGAGCCTGACCTGCTTTACAAAGAGCTCTGTGAGTCTGATGCTCCAGAAATAACCCCATGGCACCTTAAAGATTGAGGTTTAATCTTGTTCTTGCTGAAATCACCAAGTAGAGCTGATCACTAGACTTGGGGTCTGCTCATCCATGGAACCCACCATTTAACAGGTTGCCAATTGGACAAAGTGTGCACTTTCAAGCTGAACTGCCCCGTGTCTCTGTGTGCATCCATGCAACCATAAATGCATGGAATCTCAAGGACGCTGAGAGGATGAAATGGGTCACCCAACGCCTGTCTTTCTGAGTGTCCCAGAGGAAGAAAGGCATAACAATGAAGTACATCTAGAAAAATAAAACCCGAATTGTAGCTTGCCTTCCCTGGCAGGGATATCAGTTTGAAAAGCACCACCTTGCCCAGGACCAACTGCATAAGGTGAAGTGCTTGGAGCAAAGGGACCTTCTGAACTCCATGCACTTCTTTTGAGGACGCCGTGCAGCAGAATCTGGATCCTAGGCAGGTAAGTCAAGGAGGTGAAGCAGCTCCTTACTTTCCTCCCTCCCGTTGAGTAGGAATGCGTCAAAGGGGCAAGTGGATCACCCCTGGAACACTGTAGAGAAGGCCACCAACCAATGCTTCCTCTAAGCTGTGGAGTCTTGTGAGCAAAAATTATACTTTGTGGCATTAAAGTTAAGAGCGGGCGATTTGGCTACTGCATAAATTAGTTTGCTCTGGAGCCCTCCTTCCTGAGCCAAGACAAAAGTGTGTGAGCCGGAGGCTAAAATACTGTGAGCTAGCTCACATTCACTCAGATTGGAGGGAACACTGCACCAACTCTGACCATGCACCATGTGAGGGACAGCTGGCAGAGGTCTCGGACCTTTTTAAATGGAAGTCCTGGTATCATTTCCATTTTGCAGAATACTCCCTGTTTGATCATAAGGAGCAAATAAATATGAAAACTCCCACTAGCAGATCCTACTTTCTCCAAGAATCTGGCTGCCTTACACGTTATAGAATCATGGAGTTGGAAGGGGCCATACGGACCACCTAGTCCAACCCCCTGCCTAATGCAGGACCAGCCTTTGACAACAGAATGTCAACAGTTCCCAGGCAGATGGCTTTTACCCAATCTGAGGCCATCCTGCCATACTGGCAGGAAGAGGGCAACTTACAATTCAGCTGTACAGCCCTGGATGAGTTGCTTCAGTTTAATTCCTCTTCACTGCCTGCCTTTCATTGCTCCTCATCACTAGACCTATTTTCATGTCATTCACTCCATCCTCCATGAGACTCTAAAGATCCTTTTTGGCTAAAGCTTTATCTAAATGCTCACAGGCAAAGAAGAGACATGGCAGATGGGGAGTGGAAGGGATACAGGAAGCAAACTGCATGGAGACCAATTATATATGTCGCACCCACACACAAGTGTTCTAGTTAACCAATAATTGCAATCTCAGAAGATGGGACTGCAGGGCAGATACTCAACAGACGGTCTGTTTTGTCTCTGAGGTCGGACACAATTTCTTAGCTGGGCTGTGTTCAATACAGGTACCTATGATAAGGTGAATAAACTGGAGAATCAAAAAGATATTGTACTGCATATGTTGCTCTACCACTGGAAATGGGAAAAGAATGAAATTCAAGGAACCCTGGTATGATTTTGAAAGCTTTAGCATTCCTGATATTCTGCAACAGCGCTCTTCATGTTTATAGGCATGGGCATTGATCCTTAAATTTTCTGTGTATCACCCACCACCTCAAGGTACCAGATTCTACAACATAGCTTCTCACTTCAAAGACTCAAAGAAGAACCAGAGAATAATGCCTGCATGGTATAGTTTTATTGTAAGGTTGAAGAAAAGGTTGTTTCCCTTGTGCTACAGAAGTTAATAAATTTTACAGTTACACTTAATTATGAATGGTTATGCTATTGGCTGCTGCCAGTATCATTAACCCAGTGTTCCTGCCCTAAGTGCTAGGGCATTTAAACATTTATGAATGAATACAAGGCAATTCCTTCAGTTCTCTAAATGCCAGTCTCTCAGGCCACCTATTATAATGCAACATACCCTATTCAGTATATGTTACAGCCATTCTGTGACAGAAGGATCAGTTTCCAGTAACAATACAAGGAAGCTAAACATCCTCACTGGATCCCACTTCAGTTTTCATTAATATTGCCATATGGCATTACTGAATGACATTTAACTGAGTGACATCTATATTCCTGCAACTAGATGAACATTTAGGAGCCAGTCTTATGTGGCATAGTTTTTAAATTTGTACTTTACAAATGAAGAAACCTGAAAAGCCTAGTTCACAAAATGTTTATTTATGCAAACAGAGTTCATAGCCAAGTCAAAATTATGTACTCCAGAAGTTCTAGACAATAAAGGTGAAGCCGACAACAGTTGGTTTTATTTCAGTATTGTATCTTCGCTAGCTGAAAAGGAAAGAAAAAGACATCTGAGTTCACCAGTGAGTGATTCAAATATGCTCCAAGTACATGGCTTCGACGAACCTGCACCAAATGTATTGCTTACAGCCACCGCCATAGTTAATTGATTTTTACAACCGCAGCTGCATCAAGGACACAGCTGTTGAATTCAAAGTGATCATATCTCACATGCCCATGATGGTACACATACGCACACACCACAAATAAAAACTAAAATCACACTTCATTCTTAGACCTGAAAGCGCTTTTGGGGCACCAGAACTGCCCACCCTCAGAGAAAGCCCACCTCCTGTGTCTCTCCTTGAGTCGCAGATCTGGGGGAACCCTCCTCTTTGCAACGAGTCAGCAGTGACTCATGCAGAGATGTCAGCCACTGGACAGCAAGCCATTCGGTTGCATCAGGAGTGACTGGAGTGCTCAGTCACTTCCAATGAAGATGCAGCAGAAAGGGCTCTTGTTGTAGCAGGAACTCCTTTGCATATTAGGCGACACCCCCCTAATGTAGCCAATCCTCCAAGAGCTTACAGAGCTCTTCTTACAGGGGCTACTGTACGCTCTTGGAGGGTTGGCTACATTAGGGGAGTGTCACCTAATATGCAAAGGAATTCCTGCTACAAAAAGAGCCCTGCAAAATTACCTGCCCCCGTACAGACTGACTGCCAAGGAGGGAGAGCTAGAGCAGAGAGTCACGCAGCAATAGAGCTGGCCGCCTCCTTTGGGAATGGGGGCCTGTCTCTCCCAGGGGATCAAAATTTCTTCCTGAAAGTATATTAGCGGTTCCATGACGGCACACTGTTTGGAAATTACAACCATATTAACATTATCACCTCACCCTGAACTCAAAGACTCTGGAAATTTAAGGTTAGTGACTGCCTTTTCTTAAACTGTACTAACATTTAAAATGCTTTTAATACATTTAAATATTTATATGCCCACCTTTCCCCTGAGCATCTCAGGACTCACTGGGCAGTGTACATATCTATAAGGAGGCTCAGCTTACCTACACTAGCTCAACTGAACTTACAGCTAAAAACATAAGAACAAGAGTCCAGGAGCACCTTAAAGACTGACAAAATATGTGGCAGGGTATGGGCTTTCATGAGTCACCGCTCACTTCTTCAGAAGTGACTCACAAAACAGCACACCCCTGCCACATACTTTGTTAGTCTTTTTTTTCCTCTCTTTTTTAAAATATATATTTGTTAGTCTTTTAGGTGCTACTGGACACTTGCTCTTTTCTACAGCTACAGACAGACTAACACGGCTACCCATCTTGATCTAAAAACATAAGACACTTCCCTGGAAGTAAGCCCCTCTTAATAGCATGAGCCTTACTTCTAAATAGACCTGCTTAGGATTGCTTGCTAAGTAACCCTGATGACCTCCCTAAACATGTATAATGGCACATGCAACTCCAAACTTTGTCCTGTACAAAATTCTTGGTATTTTTAGACAACTATCACATAGATGTAAATGAATCCCTCTGGTCTGAAATTGCATACAAAGAGATGAGTGCTATAATCCCCTTGCAAGGTTCCTATAGAGGAGTCACTGCCATCTGTGAATTCATGGGACCCTTGTGTACAGTGGAACACGTGACGATCACAAACCAGGTTTTTCAGGCTTGTGGAGAGTCACGATATAAGCTTCATAACATGTGTATGCAGACAGCATGTAAGTAGACTTCATTATTACCTTCATTATAATCCACCTTTCTCACTGGGGCTCAAGATAGCTTAGTAAAGCTACTGTGTAACATCCTTCTTTCCTGCCATTCCTCTGACAGCAATGCAAGTGAACTAGCCATTTCAAGTAACTCCTTGTAATTTTTGATAGCTACCTTTTAGAAGAGAAGATTGGATTTATACCCTGCCCTTCATTACCTGAAGGAGTCTCAGAGCGGTTTACAATCTCCTTTCCCTTCCCCTCCCCACAACAGACACCCTGTGAGGTAGGTGGGGCTGAGGGGGCTCTTTTGAGGACTGCTCATAAGAGAACAGCTCTGAGAGAACTTGTAACTGGCCCAAAGTCACACCAGCAGCTGCATGTGGAGAAGTGGGCAATCAAACCCAGTTCTCCCAGATTAGAGTCTGTGCTCCTAATCACTAAACCACGACACCCTTTACTGACTCTAGTTAGCCAGCTGGGATCTTTCACTAGCCTACATAACAGGAATCTTCCCAAAGCTGTATCCTTAGAATGCAAATATTTTGAGAATTTGGCTTTTTAAAAAATGGATTTCATCAGATTAGCATGCCATATGCGGGCTAGATAGTGCCCACTATCAAGAACTGGGCTTTAACTGAGTCGGGGAAGCGATTATCTCACAGCTAACAAAGCTAAACCAAGACTGACACAAAAAAGTTGGGATAACACAGTACTACAGAAGTTACAGAGCAGTACAGACATGATTCAGCTTTCTCAGGTAATTCTTGCATAACACTCAACATGTATGCTGCTGAATCCACAATTTAAACCCAACATTAATCCAGACACTGATTGCCAGTTGTTGGGGATGTACAAATGTCCACAAAGAGTGAACAAACGTTCACTGTAGTGTGTGTAGAGGGGTAGTGTGCTTTAAGCAAATATGCATGGCGTTTTCAAAAAAAGGATGAGTAGGTATAAGAAAAATACCTTCTGCCAGTGCTTTTGCAATGCGTTCCATTTCTTCACGTTTCTTCTTCTCTTCCTCTTCTATTCTCCGTTCCTCCGCAGCAATAGGCTTCAAGTAGTCTGTCATGAAAGCAATTCATTTTACTGTATACACAAATGTTTGGTCAACAGAAGGCTTCCTTACTAACGCACAATCCTATGCAGAGTTATTCCAGCCTAAGCTCATGGAAATCAGGGGCTCAGACTGGAATTCTACATAGGATAGTCCTGCCAGTCTTCAAGAAGCTTCATCATACACTAGCCAACAATAGAGTAATTTGCTTCCAGCTCAGTAAGATCATGCAACATCTTAAGGTATGTACAGAGATAGATCAGAGGAAGTCTCTGAGGAGGATCAGCTGTTTAGACAGGTTTATAGTTAACAATAAGAACTTCTGTTCTACATTTAGAACACGGGACAGTTAGCTGGAGCCCCATTAGATGATCAAATCACTAGGTGGCTGAGATTCTAGTAGCCCACAAAGAGCGTAACTAAATAAAAGACACATCTAAAACAAATACTGCCCAAATTTATTTACATACTGCATTTTACTCTCCTCGTGCCCACTCATTAGAGATACACACACCATCAAGAATACTACCAGCAATCACTTATGACTCTTATACAAATGTTTATACTTATGTATGTTTTATATCAAAAGACAAGCTGACATCCAGCAGCCAAGAATTTTTGACAATGACTTGTGCCAGAAGAGCTGATTGGTCTGTCACCAAATGCACTGATTCCCCCCCCCCCCAAACAAGTGATCTAGGTCTGTCACATCAGATTATTCACAAGACAAAGCTGCACATGAATATCTGCTGCAAGGTGAGAGAGGGAAAACCTGGCTGCATTTGCACGCTCAGAGACTGAGGAACTCCAATACATTATAGTTGTTTTTCACATAGTAGCTGTACAATTCAAAGACAGTCAAGGCAAAGCAAAAGCATCTGAAGATGAACTAAAGCTCCCTTCGAAGAAGTCCTTTGCATTAGACTTGTCCTTAGCCACTTACCATATCTTTTCTTTCCATAGATCATTCCGATTAGTAATGCCGAGTACCTGGTGAACTAGAAAACAAAGTATAGGCATATGAAACTGCTACGTCACCAAGCACACAAAGTATTTTGTTTTCCAGGCTTTAAGAGGTACAGAATTTAGAGGAGGGGCCTCGTAATCTAACAAGCTGCAAGTTCAAGTTTCTTAGATGGAAAAACCAAACTTTGAAGTGTGGGCCAGATTCACAACTGAATTGCAAACAGAAATATAATTCCATTTATGAGTTTAGAATCAGCGCCTCACAACACCGAAACCCTACTAAGAAACCCACTTAGGGACAAGAAGTTATCTCAAAGACATAATGCCCAGGCAGTGGCTATTGAGTGAAGACCTGCTGTTCAAGAGGGTCCACACCCAGATCCTATAGCTGTGGCTGCAGGATAAGAACACTGTGTGGGCCTCTCATACCCCTGCGTCACAAGGGAGTGAAATTAATACCCCACTTGCTTGGTGTCATAAGCGGAAGAAAAGGGGCATCACTGCTCGTATTATTTTTCACCAACATAGCAACTGAATTCAACTAAACCGGGGCAGGTAGATTAGCATTAAACACACAAAACTGGCTAGTCTGTTTCCAGTCCACAGAAAATCAACTCTAATGATATTAGTATAATCAGATTCCATCAGTTTCTGGCATCTGATCTTTTAAACCCACATTTCAACATTTACCTGCATTTGCTGGCTAGAAAAAAAAAACTTGTACCAGAGTACCTTCTAAGTATCACCTACACTGTGACTGGACACACACTATCGTGCATCTACTGCAGGATGCAAAATGTCAACTGTTTAAATTACCAAGTTTAACAAGCTCATAATCTAGCCCAGATACATTTTTTTTTTACAAACTATCAGCTCTGCTGATTTTTCTTAAGAGAAACTGACACATAAATGTGCTTTAGCAACAGCCCCCTGCACAGAAGATTAACAATAAGGTCAGCATTGGAAAACACACATTCCTGTGAACTCTTTGCCAGTTTCCCAAGGCTTGGGAAACATTTAAACCAGTATACAGATGGAAAACAAACCCTTTTTATTTAAAGATTTACTGGTTTATGTTCCAATTTATCCAGTTCTAACGATAAAAATTACAGTCGGGGAACCAAAATCTCCTGGACATTCCAGGCCCCAGAAACATCAAGTTTGTGGTTACCAGGGCTGGGGCATTTTCGGTGGCGGCTCCTACCTGGTGGAATGAGCTCCCAGAAGTACTTTTATAGTTAAATCATTTTAGAGCACCGAAAAGCAAATTTTAGTAAATTGTATTGTTGTATTTTATATTATTCTGTACTGTTTTAATGTTTTTAACTTGGGCATTTTTGCCCCTTGTGAGCCGCCCTGAGCCTTCAGGGAGGGAGAGGTATAAATTCAAAAATAAATTTTAAAAAAATTAAAAATATATATATAAAAAAACTGAGCTTTGCAGCACAGTTACGACAGAATGCACTTTCACAAGCCCACTTCACCAGATGCATCCAGCATGCCTTTTTGTTTTAGAGAGCCAGTGTGCTGTTAGTGGGTAGTGTCAGACTAGTATCCGGGAGACCCAGGTTCAAATCCCCACTCTGCCACGGAAACCCATTGGGTGACTGTGGGCCAGTCATACTCTCTCAGTCTAACCTACCTCCCAGGATTGTTGTGAGGATAAAATGGAGAGGAGAATGATGTGAGCTGCTCTGGGTCCCCACTGGGGTGAAAACCAGGGCACAAATGAAATACATACATAAATAAATAGGCTAGCAGGAAGATTCCGACCCACAGCTGGAACCAGCAGGGCAAAAGAAAGAACACTAATCTGGAGGAAAACCACAATCCACAATCCCCCAGAACAGTAATATAACCATTACTTATATGGGATGGGGGTTATAAGTAATGGTTGAGGAAATTCTATTCCACTGTATCTGAAGAAGTGTGCATGCACACGAAAGCTTATACTGTGAATAAAACTTCGTGTCACTCAAACTTGGTCCTGCTGCTTCAGAGCAACACGGCTACCTCCACCTGAATCTTACTGAATGCACTAATTTACACCGTGCAATCTGCCTTCGATCTCATATTATAAACAGCATAAATAAAATCACATTGCAGCACACCGGTAAATGTGCTTTGGCAACAGCCCCCTGCACAGAAGATTAACAATAAGGTCAGCATTGGAAAACACACATTCCTGTGAACTCTTTGCCAGTTTCCCAAGGCTTGGGAAACATTTATCCAGGCAAAAAGCACAGGTGACTGACCATTAACCCCTACCCTCGAGCCATTTGGATAGAAACAGCTGCTTGCCCCAGTGAAAGCCAAACGAGGCATTCGCGAGAGACCGGGGAGGAGCCAGGAAGCAGCAACCCTGCATCGTGAGCCGCTTCGAGCCCCGAAAAGCAGCCAAGGAGGCAGCCAGCCCCCCGCTTCTCCTTGACCTCCTCCACGGTCACCTTCCGGTAAAGGGCCCCGGGCCCGGTGGGGCTTCTCAAGCGCAACCCAAAGTAGGGGAGGGGGGAAAGCACGAAGCCCCGAAGAGACCAGGTAGGAGATATCCCCCCCACCCCCGGTCACCTTGATCAACGGAGAGACCTCCACCGGGGGAATCATCCTGCCCGCCTCGGCCTCTCTCCGGCACACGGAAACGGACGTGACGCACAGCAAAAGTAAGGCGGGGCTACAAGCAGAGGCTTGTGGGAGCGGCGGAGCGGCACGAAAGGTTTGTGACGTACGGCTTTATAGAATGAGTGTGTCTGCGCTTGCGCGGCGAAGGGGTTACTGCCGGGACTAATTTAAGGCACGGCGGAGAAGAAAGAGTTGGATCTGCCTATAGATATGTTGGTCCAAAAGTAATTTTACTTATTTATAAATTCGATTTTAGATCGCCCTCCCCCAATACGGGCTCAGGGCGGTGTATAACATTTAAATACAACTAAGAATAATACAATTATAATCGTTCAAAAAGGCGCCTAAAAACCAATTATTCTTAACCCAAAATTAGGGAGTGGACGGAAAAGGAGGCCGGACTGATTAAGACCATTGGTTAAAACTGGTTAATAACTTGCTGTCCTCAACCATAAGCCTGGTGGAACTCTCTGCCTTGCTAGGCCTGCAGAAGTGGACTAAGTCCCGCAGGGCATGGTTGTTGTTTGGCAGAGAGTTAAACCAGGTCGAAGCCACTCTGGTTGAAGACAGCGGATGTCTCTTGGGCCAGAGATCTCCAGATAAAGAAAGCTAACAACGCAGTTCATATCCACAATCCTTTTATTAAGACTGACCTAATATGACCTATAAAAGGAGCTGCGGTGGCTCAAGTGGTTAAGATGCTGTCGAAGGTCAGTAGTTCAGCAGTTCGAGACCTGAGTTGCCGCATGACGGAGTGAGCTCCCGTCTCTAGTTCCAGCTCCTGCCAACCTAGCAGTTCGAAAGCAAGAAATTGAAAGTAGATAAATAGGGACCGCTTCGGTGGGAAGGTAACAGCGTTCCATGCGCCTTGGGGTTTAGTCATGCCGGCCACATGACCACGGAAAACGTCTTCGGACAGCGCTGGCTCTTCGGCTTTGAAACGGAGATGAGCACCGCAACCCTAGAGTCGGACTCGACTGGCTTTCGAGCAAGGGAACCTTGACCTTTTTAATGACATATAAAAGTGTGCAAACTTCTGAGTTCCACAGAATGCTTGATTGCTGATAAATCACCACACTAGATGTAACAAAATACAAAAAGGGGGAACTTTTTCAGAGCATGGGATTGCTGGGATTCTGGGAGGCTCTGGCTTCAGGATGCTGCTGGCCCCAGGGCCATAAAAGCAAGAAGCAATAAAACAAACTCTTAGACTGGAGTAGCTCTCAATTGGATTGCACCATGTTGTTACCAATTATATTTCTGTCTCGCAGGGTGCCTTTAAACCTCTTTTTTATTGGAAGGGGGGAAGAACACAGTATATGCATATCCTTCTGATACACGCAGTGGCCATTTTTGTCTGAAATGGGCAACATGCAAATATTCCAACCAGAACACCATCCAGATTTTTCCAGGGTTCTGATATATGTGTACCAAGGCTGAAAATACACTGGTTGCTCCTTTCAGACAAAAATATTATTGCTCGTATCAGGAAGATAGGGCCTAACACATAACATCTGTCAAAGGCTGTAGTCTTGCCTTTAATTGTATAAACTACATCCGCAGAGAAAATAAATTTCCCCCAGAATTATTGAGTCATCCAGTTGCAAGTTTTGCTGTAGAACACAGTACACTATGGCCCTAATCCCATGAAATGTACAGTGCAATCCTGTGCAGAGTTACTCCACTGAAATGAATAGAATGAGAACTGGGGTAAGTCTGTATGGGACTGAACTGTTAGCCATGCTTAAGCCTTCATGAACATTAGGAGTCAATGTGCTGTCATGATTAAAGTACTGCACTGAGTTCCTTGAAGGAAATGTGAGATTTAAAATATAGTATTAAATAATAAAAAAGAACATCATACAGTCCCTGAGGGACCGCCTTTCCCCGTATGTTCCCCCAAGAGCACTACGGTCTGGGGCCCAAAATTTGCTAACTATTCCGGGCCCCAGAGATGCAAAACTGGTCGCTACGAGGGCCAGGGCCTTTTCGGTGGTGGCCCCTACCTGGTAGAATGAGCTCCCGGAGGAGATCTGGGCCCTGCGGGATTTGATGCAGTTCCGCAGGACCTGCAAGACAGAGCTCTTCCACCAGGCTTTCGAGTAGGGGCCGCCCCCCCGCTATATTGTCATCATGGGGGGGGGGGTGGAAGAGGCCCTAGGAAGGAACATCTGAACTCCTTAACATCTGAACGTTGAAGCCACCGAATGTCTACTGGGAACTTCTCGGACTTGGTCCGTCATCTTTTGGGGTTTTGGAATTGAAGATCACTGAGCACTTTACATGTATTGGGATTGGTTTTTAAACTGTATAGTATGTTTTTAAATGAATAGGAATATTATGTTTTATAAATCTATAAATAAATAATAAATAAAATAAAGAAAATGACACAGATACTTCAAGTTGTAGGTGGGATCAGGAAGAGATATAAAAGATGATTTGCAATTCATTCCTATAAACAATCGGTGATTGTGCAGTGAAGTCTGGAAAGCTTATTGTTATGACAAAGAACAAGGCAATAAGGATTGAGGCTTTAACGTCTGAATACTATCTGAATAATCCATCTATAGTCTGAAAGGCTTTCCTGTGTAGTACACATTTTTAGTTGAATGGAACTTGTGTCCTAAATTGGATCCCAAAGAGCCACGGAATAGCAGATGCTAAAGATATGCACTCTGCCTAGCAAAAGCCCAGAGAGAATATTAGAATACAGAATAATGAGTGAATATTATTAGCATGAACAGCTGCAAGCAAAAGAAATGAATGACAAGAAGCA